CAGCAGTCCCTGCTGTTCAAGGTCTGTTCTTGCCACTACCTTCTTCTCCCGAATACAACGTACGGTCATTATAGATGTATTTAGACTGAAACCTAGTCTAAATACAGCTATAATGACCGTACGTTGTATTCGGGGGAAGAAGGTAGCCACTCGGGGGTGGGCAAACAGCGGTGGAGAATTCGCCATTGGAGGGCTCTGAGCTTCGTAGGCATGATCTTAGGTACTTCGCCCATGGCAAATTCTCAATTAGCTGTGTGTCGATCTGCGAGTCTCGCGCCCATCTGCGAGATATTGTTTAGTTGATTCGTACCTGTGGGGACGAGGCTCTGTAGCCCCCTTTGCCAGCATAGTCCCAAATGTGCATCGTATTTGGTCTGGGCCCCTTCATCTTCTCCCGGATCAAAGGGCAGTCCGGCAAGTGGCCTTGTGGGCTGATAGACAAACAGGCTGTCCTGGTGCTCCCCCACCACACCTGCATGCATGAGGCCCACCCAACTTTCATTGCGATCCAGATTATCGTTTCTTGTGAGTTTGCCATCCTGGTGGCCCCCCACCACACCTGCATGCTCCTGGCAGGAGTGGCTCATAGGCTTCCAACGAGCAGCGCCCCTCTTCGTTTCGTTCACCCTTTCGGTTGAGGAAAGAAAAAAAGGAAACACGAAAAAGAAAAATCAAACGTCCTTGCTTTCAGTCTGCTGCCCCCGCCTTCCACAACATCAGGCCAAAAGAAAGCGAAGAGGCGCGCGCTTCAGTCGGCAAAAGAAGGTGCGGCTCGGCTGCCCAGGGCGCCCCGGTACCACCTGTGGGGTGCTACGCGGGGGCCGCTGTTCCCATTAACAGCATTAGGGAAACTTTGGACCGTTTCTCAATGTATGTGTCATCGTTGTGCACGTTCCGGTGAAGACGGTGGTACGCGGGGGCCGCTGTTCCCATGTGAAGACGGCAGGTGATTGTCAACCGTGAAGATTCATCTATCATGTTCATGTACGACCGTCAACTGCCTCCATTGTGAGTTTTTAACACTGCTACCGTCTTCACCCGAATTGACTTACCGTGAGGGCATGGGTGCGCAGCCCGTAGTTCGTTTGTTTATGTGGTTCGGGAAGGGTAAGGTAGTGAATATGTTGTATGTATGTTTTGTCATGTTTGCTATACACAACTCGAAGAGAGTGCGTGTGTGGGGTCCCGGTTGATGCCTTGTTCACGATGTTCATGGGACGCTGGACCCAGTTTCCAGCAGGTGGCGCTCCCCATCAATGGACAGGAGAATGTATGTGCATATGTGTGTGTGTGTGTGTGTGTGCGTGTGTGTGTGTGTGTGTGTGTGTGTGTGTGTGTGAGAGAGAGAGAGAGAGAGAGAGAGAGAGAGAGAGA